AGAATTTGACAACCCACTGATATCTTTCTGATTGTTCAATAATGAATGTATATCTTGTGCATGGACTAATAAATATTTTTTCTGATTTAAATTGTTAAATAATACATTTGTTTTACCTTTATTGCTCGGTGGTCGATGCACTTTTTGCACATGAACTGTTGAGTACTTCGTACGATTTTGATCATTGCATGGTGGACTTGTACTGTTTATATGTACATATGAATAGTTGATGTTCTTCATTGGCACAGATACTTGCTTATCCTATTATAAAACTAGACTTTTAGCAAGCAGTCTTAGTATGTTAGAATGTAAGGTGTATTAGGGTTTGTGGAGAAAATACTTTCTATTCCATGATACTGAACGTTTGGGAACCAGTTCCGCTCCAAAATTTGTTCCCCACAATTCCGTAAGCACTCAAATTCACTCACAAATCCAGAATTACGGCATCAATTCCTAGAAATTCCATCCAATTCCAGAAATGGAACTCATAAACTAATATCATTCACGCCCTGTTTTAGATTTACAAGAACATATCAGGATTTATTATCTAAGTGATCGACGCGAGTTTTAATCAAGATTCCTTTAGATATACTTGCACAAAATAATTTATAATCTTTGTGAGTACATCAACTGTTTCATTTTTGTATTCAATTTTTTTTCTAGAAGCTACACTGATTTTTATGTTTGATTCTTACCTTTTAAGAAATTGGCTGTGGATATAGATATATAAAAGTTGAAAAAATATTCTAGTATGTTGTTTACTGTAATCTCTTCAGACGATCATTTGTTCGTATAATGAATTCCTTCTAGCAGCTGATTATATACAACTTATTTTTATCCTCTATAAAAATAGTACAATCAAACAGAAGCCTTAGTCATATATTCAACAAGAAAACAATAGTTTCAATTGAATTATTTTTTTTCAGAGTTGATTATTGAAACATATGATTAAAACGAAGACTTTCACATCGGTGCAAATAACAAAAATATTTTATTGCGCATTTCAATATGAAACTTAATTAAAGTTCAGCTAGTAATAGATTGTGTATGAATACATACAAGAACGCGACGGAGAGCGAAAAGATCTTCATAGTTAGTCGAAACAAACAGTAAGAGCCATAAAGCAGTAAAAAAAACTGAGATTCCCTATTTACGTCACATTTCGAAAGATACACTCGTGTATTATACTTCATCGTATTGAAAAGGTAAAGTTTTTAGCAATTTCAAAGACGATTTCGAATTTATATCATTTTTTATTCCAGCATAACATTTAGAAATTAACTTGTTTCGTAGGTGCACAATGAAAAACTGACAGATGATTTTTCACTATAAAACAAAAGAAATTTTGTCCAAAGAATAAGATGAATTAATTATTAAAAGAAAAAAATGGAGGGTGGGTGTGGGTATACTCTACAATTTAACTCATACCCACATCTATTATTAAGATTAGTTGTTGTTCTAATAGTTTGCTAAACATTTGCACCTGTTTTGTATATTCTTATTGTAATATTTCGATTGTCATTTAATATTATAACTGAAATTTTGTTTTTCTATTGTACTTCATTCTGCAATCAGGTATTGTTTATTACTATTTGTCTTTCCCTTGATTTTAAATAAATATTGAAACGCTACATCCTATTCATACTTGTACTCGAACAACTTCAAATGTTAACTAAGCCTCGAACAGGAGAATGTGAGTACCATATTTGAGGGTGTGGATGTGCTTGATCAGATCATGAGGGTTGGTGGATTATCTAAAGTTTTGGCCATACCCTTATCCAGACCCACACTCACCCTAGCACACCCATACCTACATCCGTTCATATCTACACCCATTCACCAATACCCCAACCAAACCCATACATCAACATCCATCCACATATCCACTATCAATTAAAAGCTTCTTTTTCTGCCTCAGCACTTAATTTTATTATATTCTACTGAGTATCGAATAAACAGCACACGACACACTCACATGGACAACACACATACATCACATCCGCACTTCACTGTTTTTATTTGGTTGATTTGTTGATGGCTGATGTTGTGACAAAAAACTTTTCGCGACATCTAGAAAATAACGGCAACGAATGAGTATTCAGAAATATTGTTAAACATAACTAATGCTTACTGTACGCCGGTTTTTTTTCTATCAAATCGATGGCGATTTCTTCCCGATCATCACAGTGTTCCGAATTGGGACGCTATGCAAATAGCTTCATACAGCGGTACTCAATTCGTTCGACCACATATTGTTCATACTATAACAGAAAAAAAGTTTATATTTTACAACTGTATATGTTTTACAAGAAAATAATACGTTAGCAATGGTCGCTCTGGCTTCATTAACTTGTTCATCGATTTATGGATGGGTGTGGGTGTCAATGATAAATCCATCACAAACCCACACACTTAAGATTTTTTTTCTTATTTTGTGCTGATATATCACTAAATAAGTTTGAATCTTCACAAATAACATAAAAAATAAATTTTAGATAAGTAGATCTTAACATCAGAGTTTTCACTCAAATGATTCCCACTACTAAAATATTTAAATAAAACAAAGAAAAGCACTTCAAAAATAAGTAACAATGAATAGGAAGAATTATTTACTTATTGTTCACTAAATATATCCATTTAGATCCACTCAAATGGAACAAAACCAGAATAAACTAATTACTTTATGTTTGATAAATAAATCACTTCATATCATCTAGAATAAAATAAAATAATAATATCATATCATAATATAAGACCAAATAATGATAGTGGAGATGTAAATACTAAACGTATGCATCTATTGAAATACTTCGTATTTTTTTAGATACTATACTTTGAATTGTTCTTTTACAAACTGCTTTTCATAAAAAAAACCAAAGAGACCAAAAACGAGCGAAAGAAAAAATGTAAAAGATAATGAAAAAAAATATGTATAAAGGTTAGCAGCAAGATACGTGACGAAATGCTTTATCTTTATACATGTTCGTCGTTTTAACATATAAACCATGTGAATCGTTACTTTTCTGTTGATCATTCAAAAATACATACGACTGATCGCTTGAAAAATCGATTATTACAGCATGTTGCTTGCGCCATTTGAAAAAACAGTTTTATTCAAATATTGTCCTTCAATTCTGTATATTTTTAAATATAAAAGTTTGATTTTCATGAGCTTCTGATTTGATTATTATAAAAAGATGAGTATAGAAATTAATACGATTCTAAACCATCTTGAGGGTGTGGGTGTAGGCGTGCGCTGAGAATCTTGGTGTGATTAAGCTAAAAGAAAATGAATTCAGGCCTCTGCCCACTCATATTCACACTCACATCCTAAATGATTTTATCATCTCGGCTCATGCTACATCAATAAATAAATAAAGATGAATTGAAAATTTCGAGCTTTACAATTTTCTTTTTTTACGCAAAGCTTTTTATTAAAAGTAACTACCAACAGTGTTTTTGTTTTATTAGAAATGAAGCAGCATGACTTGTTCGTTCTCTTTTTCTTTTATTTTTTCATCTATTGAATATATGATTTCGTAAAGTTGTGATTTTTAAATAATAATTTTTCTCTCTACACAAAAACACACTTGCAATTTCAGTCGATGATTGTGCATACTAAAAGAAAATACATTTCATGATTTTAAAAAACAAAGAAGAAGAGAATGATTTTAGTTTGTAACTATAAAATTGGTCAGCTCTCGTTCGATTATTTCACAACGCTTATATAAGAAACATAACGAAAAATAATACAAGAAGAATATTCTTTACTTAATAATTCATACTATTGCATCTGATAATGGCGCAAATTTTGAGTTCAATCTTCATATTTTTATTCTATGTGTTACTTTTAGTGTAAGTATTATTTAATAACTTCTACATGTTATATACTTTTTTTTATCTTCTTTAACGATAGAAACATATCAGAACAACAACAACAGCTAAGTAATTAATAATAATGACCGTTATTTTCTTTATTTTTTTATTATTTATTTCTTAGTTAATTCAACAACGACAGCAACATGTAATTTTACTGCATGTAATTCTGAAAGAATTGCATGTTCATCGAATCTTGATTGCGATTGTTTTTCATTAACATCCAATTCGAATATAGGAATATGTGGTTCAACTATTTTCTCATGTGCAAGTGTTGTACGATGTAATATGGATAATGTAACTTGTTCAATCGCGAGTACAATCTGTGTGAATAGTACACGATGTGGTCAACCAATATGCTATCCATTACCTATGGCAAGTAAACAAATATGTTCACCAAAGGCTGTTACAAGTAAAAAAAGATTTCAATAACTACTTCAATTTTATTTGTTTTTTTCTTCTTTTAACAGGTACAACATTACAAACAACAACTACAGGTAAGGTATTTTGTCTTGGAAACTTAAAAACGATTAGAACAAAAAGGAATTAGTTGATCTAGAATAAAATATTTCTATGTTTTAATAGTACATACAACAAGCGCAACTAAATCTACAACAAAGAGTAAGTGTCATTTCATTATATTTTCTCTTTAAAATGTGTTTATTTTGTGGCTAACTTATCTATTTTCATTCAGTTACAACAACAGGTAAAATATGTAGTACCGTTGGTACTGATTCTAGCTCATAACTCTTTTTCTTCTTTTACTTTTCAGTTCACTTCGTCAACACAACTAATCAATCTAGTACAGCCGCTAGTAAGTAATCAACAAATAATTTATCTGTGATTTTTTTTGATTGAGATGTGTAGCAACAGCAATAAAATAGACTACTACTTTTAGAAGGAATTCTTATTCATATCTATCCCATCCTTCTAAATTTATAGAGGGTTCTATTTCATATGAAAATGAATTACATACATAATAAATTGAGAGCTGTACTCGTTCGTAAATTTTTCGAATAATTTTCTCTACAAATTATTTTAACGGTGGGTGATGATAAATAATCTTTTGCCTGCACCCATCCACACCTTCTAGCAGATGAGAAGTTCCTAGTTTTCATTCTATTAAATATCTTTCAAACATTGCTTATAAAATTTATAGAGAATCGAAAAACAGTTCAGGCAGTATAATTATCACAATGATCAATTTGAGACAAACATCTCTTATACATTTGATTGAAACAACAGAAAAAATAGACAATATAGAAAACTAAAGATATGTGAAGAGATTTTGGGCAATACGATTGTCTAAATATATAAGAATGTAACTTCTAGGATGGTTTTCTACTGGCAAAATGATTAATGCACGATATTATCATACAGCATCTATACTATCAAATGGAAAAGTATTAGTTACTGGTGGATACGATAATGGTAGTAGCTTAAACAAGGCTGAGTTGTATGATCTATCGACAGGTACTTGGACAAGTACAAGTAACATACATAATGCGCGTTCTTCTCACACGGCATCAGTGTTATCAAATGGAAAAGTATTAGTTACTGGTGGATTCGGTGAGAATATTATTCGTAACAGTGTTGAATTGTATGATCCATCAACAGGTGCCTGGACAACTGCCGGTAATATGATTACTGCTCGATATGGTCACACAGCATCTATATTAACTAATGGAAAAATATTAGTTACTGGTGGAGCCGGTAATAGCGGTATTTCGAAGAGTGCTGAACTGTATGATCCATCGACAGGTATTTGGACAACTACTCGTAACATGACTAATGCACGATATGACCACATAGCATCTGTATTATCAAATGGAAAAGTATTAGTTACCGGTGGAGGTAATAATAACGGTGCTTTAAATAGTGCTGAATTATATGATCCATCAACAGGTGTTTGGACAACTACCGGTAACATGAATAATGCACGATATGGTCACACAGCATCTATATTAACTAATGGAAAAATATTAGTTATTGGTGGAACTGGTAATAGCAGTGCTTTAAATAGTACTGAGCTGTATGACCCATTAACAAGTGCTTGGACAATTACTAGTAACATGAATAATGCACGAGATTGGCACACAGCATCTGTATTATCGAATGGAAGAGTATTAGTTGCTGGTGGAGGCAATGGTAATGTTTTAAATAGTGCTGAGCTGTATGATCCATTAGCAAATACTTGGACAACTACTAGTAACATGACTAATGCACGGTCTCAACACACGGCATCTGTTTTATCAAATGGAAAAGTATTAGCTACTGGTGGATACAATAGTAATACTGGTTTTTTAAATAGTGCAGAATTATATTAATTATTTCAAACAAATTAACTATCAATCATTTTATTCTTTTTCTTGCAAGTAGCCCGAATTCCAAAACAAAACTTTAATTAGAACAACTGTCATCTTATGATATCCACGAACTGTTTCCTTCCATATTTTTGTTGAATTATCATTTACTTTATTATTCGATCCCAAATAAAAATCTATATCTTTTTCTCTGCTCTTATGTATTAGTTTTATGGTGTAATTTTTCATAGTATTTAATTTTTTGATAGTATCCATCGGATTTAGAATGTATGATTATTGAAACATTTTGGTTACAAAAACAGTTCGACGTAAGTTCATGAATGGTATATATGAATATATCTGTAGATAACAACAACAAATAGTCTAAAACAAATGTCATTCTTTTATTTATTTAACTGAATCTAAATTTGAATAAATGTCATCTTTGAAAATGAAGTGAAAATTGAAAAATGAACGTTAATTATCAACACACTAAAATAAAATGTATCGCATTTTACGACACTATAAAGTATATGACAATACTTATTTGCAAATCTTAATTTTTCATTGAATAAACTAAATAATTCAAATTTAGAGCATTGTTTCTTGTTCATCAGAGTTGCCATTCTTTGAAGTTTCATCGACCTTGTGTGTTTTCTTAAAAAACATCGAAGATAATTCGATTTAAAATTATACTGGAAGAATATCCACTTTTGTTGATGAACACCATGGAAATATTTCATTTCGAGATATTAATAATAATGGATCAATTATTTTCGAATCTTTTGAATCTAAATATAAAACATTTTTGTTAAATTTTTAATCTTAATTAGCAGACTTTTACCAAGAATAACTAAAAATAAGTCCAAGAATAATCATAATGATAGTACCATTAAAAATAATCCAAAGAGGAGATATTGAAACTAGAAAAATATAATTTATTCTTGCGTTATTTCATCTCGCCGATCTCCGTACCTTTGTTTTGTTATTGTCGGTGAAAGAGTAACATTAATGGATTGAACACAACCAACAATCGAAGTTGGTAATCGGCCTCCATGTTTATTTGCTGGTCTAACAGTCAATGTGGATCCAACAAGCATAAATATTTGAAATATTAAACAGAGAAAAAAGGCAACAACAGCACTCTATATAGATTAACATAAATCATTCATTATCTATTGAAAAAAAAATTAATATTTCCTCGACTTTTAACTCGTGATGAAAATAATCCAAGTAAATATACACCTAGGATTGGAGCAGCAAATGCACCAAAGATTTGTAAAATTATCTTTATATAACAAAATATTTATCAATAATTACATTAATTCATATCCTATACTCACAGTTATCATATTATTTTCCATATAAGATACAACACCCACCCCAAAATAACTGTTGCCATACTATTTACTCCACTTGAAAATGTACTTAATGTTGCACTTAATATACATGATATAAAAAGACCTGTTAAACCAGGTATTCGTCCTAATTTTTCAACTACAAATAATGGATATAACTATACAAATCATTTTATCTGGAAAATTTATTTTTTTCTCATTCTGTTTTACTTGATCTGGTCGAGAAATAAGTTTAGTACGAAGAGGATCACATTCATTACATAATTCGTCCATATAACTCTATGCAGAAAAAGAACAACATAATTTTCAAAATATTTTGTTTTTCTTAAAAATATACTTTTGTGCTGATTTTGTATCTTTGACACACATATTTTTGAGCTTGGGTTTGTATACATGCATATTGAGCTGTACTAGAAAATGTACTACCTATTAAAATACTTCAAATTGTATAACGAACAGATGGATCAATAGTTACACTAAAACTAATATTCATAAAGTTAAATTCAAAATCTTGTATACATTACACTGATAATTGTACGCGATTTCCATTTTTTAATGTTTCAAATACTTTTGATATTCCACCAGCATCAATCAAACCTTTTTTTTTTGTTTTTAATTTAAAATATAAAAGAATTTTATATTAGAAAAATACCATAGATAATTGATAAAATAAGCCTAGTAAACATGACAGTTGCTTGTATAACATCAGTCCATATAACTGCTTTCATTCCACCCTATGAATTTTATTTTCTTACAATATTTGTATAAATTGTACAAACTAAACCACATGCTCCAATTGCAATCCAAATATTCAATCCCGTTACTTGACTCAAAGTTAAACTTGGTCCATAAAGAATTATAGACATACACAGAATCTTAATTATGCATCATTTTATAGAAAAAAGAAAAAAATATTTGATTTTCTATTTACTGTGATTAAAATAAAAGTACATGCGACCAAAATACGAATTGTTAATGAAAAACGTTGTTCAAGATACTATTACTCGTAAAAAATTATTGATTTCTAATAGAAATTATATTTAAAATACGTACTGCATAGATACTAACACTTCCAATGAGCAGTCATCCTATTTCGGAAAGTTACACATTCCGGAATCGCTTGGCTCACCCAACTTAACATAATTCAATTCCGGAATTCCTTGCACTCGATTCCTACCTATTCCGGAATTCTTCGCATTCGATTCCTACCTATTCCGGAATTCCTGCACATTCCTACCAATTCCGGAATGACTTGATCAATTGATATTTATGTAAGCCTGGACATGATGACAAACACGGAATTCCGGAATTCGTGCATTTCCCGGAATTCCTGCACATTCCTACCAGTTCCGGAAAAGCCGGACGGTGCACGAATTCCGGAATTCCGCTATGGAATCGATTCGATTATTCAGGAGGATCATTTCTACATGAAGTATAACTTGTGCAATTCCGGAAAAGCCGGAATTCCTGCCCATTTCTACATCAAGCATATCTTTCGTAATTCCGGAATTGGCAGGAATCGAATTCGATCTGTTCCGGAAAAGGCAGGAATCGTATGCAAGGAATTCCGGAATTGAATGATGTTAAATTGGGTGGGTGCAGCGATTCCGGAATGTGTAACTTTTGGGAATAGGAAGCATTCTCCTTCCAATTTGATGAAATTTAGGAATAAAAACTTTCATTGTTATATATGTCGCTAAGAATCATGAAAATAAATCCTTTTGTAACATACTAGAATAGATCAACATTGTTCCGTAATAATATATTTCCACAGGCACACCAAGTAATGATGCTGCAGAAGCTATACTCGCCATTAAACTCATTGCTGTTGGTAAAATCTATTATAAGATAAAAAATACATATTGATCAGAAATCAATTTAACGAAAATGAATTCACCTTCATTCGACCATCAGCAACAAGAAATTCTCTAGTAGATGTGTGTTTTGATTTTATAGATCCTTAATAAATCCCAATACCACCCGAGAAAACTAAAATATTAATTTCTTTAAAGATTATATATCTTACTCAAAAGTAAAACAAAAACAGCATAATCAATCCAACTGAGATACATCTAAAATAAATTGGTGTCTAAATAATATGACAAACATTTTTGTCTGTTTTTTAGTTTTAAAGAGATATTATTTAAATATTATTTTATCCTTAAGGTTTATTTTGTTGACTTATGTTTCATATTTCTTTTCTTTACTCATTGATATCTGTGAGAGAAAAAGGATGTGAGAAATTAAAATTTTTTTTTTTTTCATACAAAACATAAAGTCTTTCAGAACAACTGCGAGATAAATGATTTGTATGATCATCAATTGTATCAGAATCAATCGAAATTTTATTTTATTTTTTAATATTTCTCATTTCTATTAGAATTTTAATTGCATTTCAATGATCTTTAATATCTTGATGATTTATAATAAAACTATATTATGAACCGTTAAGTTTCCATTCATCTGATACACGTGTTTCTTTTATATCTTGAGGGTGTGGGTGTCTCTCTTTTATGGTTTCATTCACATCCACCACATCCACACGCACATTCTTATTAATAGCTAGAATATAACAATGCAAACAAAGATATTATCTAGATTTTTATTTCATGAATGTATGAACTTAAGCCACCGATCTGTATATACAACATCAATTGGTGAAAAAAGAACATTAATATAATACAGTTTTTTAATGTGTTTTAAAAATTTAGGATCATTGTTTTTTTGTAGAATAGATTGTTTTAAAAATGTGAGAAAGTTTATTCGAAACTGACAATTCTTGTTTGATTATATAAATCGTCATTATTATTTTGACGACGATGTGTACCTTGTGATGGTTGTTGTTGTTGTTGATCAGGAAAACGAAATTGTGACCCAAAACCACGTGATTGTTGTAATGTTTGAGCAAATATTTCATATTTACGTATATCATTATCACTAACTGATCGTCGAGCAAATTTCATAGCTTCTTCAAAATGATCTCGACGAATTTCTGGTACTAGATCAAATTCATCTGCATCGATTGCTGTTTGTCCTCGACGATATCGTTCTCTTTCACGATTAATTTCTTTTTCAATTGATTCCCGGATTGCTGATTTACAAGCACCTTGACAAATTGCTGTTAAATCAGCACCACTAAAACCGTTGGTTACACGAGCCAATAAATTTATATCAACATCTTCTGCTACAGGTGATTTTCTTAAAGCAGCTCTTAAAATAGCCACACGCGATTTCTCATCAGGCAATGGAATATAAATTAATCGATCAAGACGACCTGTAAGAATGATTTAATTGATTAAGAAAAGAAATACTATCATTGTATTACCTGATCGAAAAATAGCTGGATCGAGAACATCTGGTCGATTGGTTGCACCAATAATAAAAACATTTTTCTTTGGATCCATATCGTCCATTTCAGTTAAAATTTGATGAATAACATGATCAGCTGTACCATCACCATCACTACCACTTCGAGCTTTTGCTATAAATATCAAGAATAAAATACAAATATTCTTGTATTTCTTTTCCTTTTTTTAACTTACCAATGGAATCTAAGTCATCAAAAAAGAGTACACATGGTGCTGTTTGACGAGCTTTATCAAATATATCATGTACATTACTGTCGGATTCACCCGATAACATAGTTAATAATTTTGGACCTTTAACTGGAATAAAATTTGCTTGACATTCACTAGCAATAAATTTTGCTAATAATGTTTTACCTAAAATTAAATATCAATATAAATTTGTGAAAAACAACAGTAGAAAATATTAGCATACCACAACCAGGTGGTCCATAGAAAAGAATACCACGTGATGGTGTCATACCATACTTGAGAAATTTTTCCGGATATGCAACCGGATGTTGAATAAGTTCTAGTAATTCACGTTTAACACTTTCTAAACCACCAATATCTTGCCATGTTGTTGTTGGTATTTCAACAGCTGTTACACGTAATGCAGATGGCTTTGATCGACTTAGTGCAAACCGAAAATTATCTTGAGTAACAGCTAATGAATAAAGTATTTTAAGATCAATTGTATCATCTTCTAAGTCAATAACATCCATTTTTTCTCGAATTTGTTGTAAAACAGCTTCCGAACATAATGATGCTATATCAGCACCAACATAACCATGTGTTTCATTAGCGATTTGTACAAGATCAACATCATCACTTAATTTCATTTTTTTTGTATGTATACGAAGAATTTCTAATCGACCAATACTATCAGGTATGCCAATATCTACTTCACGATCAAAACGACCGAAACGACGAAGTGCTGGATCAATTGCATTTGGTCGACTTGTTGCTGCCATAACAATAACATTTGAACGTTGTTTAAGACCATCCATTAATGTTAATAATTGTGATACAATACGACGTTCAGTTTCACCATGTGTTTTTTCACGTTTTGGTGCAATGGCATCGAGTTCATCAATGAAAATAATAGCTGGAGAATTCTTTAAATAAAATATTATCGAATAATTTGTTAGTTTTGATCATTTAAAAGAAACTATTATCTATTTACTTTTTCAGCTTCTTCAAAAGCTTTTCGTAAATTTGATTCGGATTTACCAGCTGATTTAGATATAATTTCCGGTCCATTAATTAAGGAAAAGAATGCACCTGTTTCAGTTGCTATAGCACGTGCAATTAAAGTTTTACCTTAAATAAAAGTTTTTTTTAATTATCCTGATTTTTTATCGATCATACCTGTGCCCGGTGGTCCATATAAAAGGATACCTTCTAGCGGTTTAAAACCGATCGTTTGAAATAACTGTGGATGTCTCAATGGTAATTCAACAATTTCTTTAATTTCTGCTAATTGCTTTCTTACACCACCAATATCATCATAACCAATTTCATTCAATAAAGCTTCTTCTTCTTTACGTTTAATTGGATCACCTTCACAATGTATCACTGTATCAGGTGCAACAATACAATATGGACTTGGATCAGTATCAATAACTTTAAATTCTACAGCACGCATACCTGTACGTGTAATAAAAGTATCACCTTTTTTCACCGGTCGATAAGCTTCAATAAAATATGGTTTTAAATAAACTTCAAATAAGTTTCCTGTCATTCCTTCTACAGTGTCATCAATAGGTAAAACTGTTATACGTTTACCATATCTTGCATCTGAACAAGCTTGAACTGAAACAGTATCACCAGGACGTACGCGCAAATTATTTCGTACAACATGATTCATTCGAATACGTTCATTTGAACAATTGTCATCGGCAAGAACAATACATATTGTTTCATGACGTTTTTTACCTTTGACCATTACAGTATCACCACGAAATAATTGTAATTCATCCATTTTTTGTTGTGATAATTCAACAACACTATTATCGTCATTACTTGAATCATCAACAATTAAATGATTTGGACGTTCTTTACGATTCACTATTGTTGTGGTATACATATCTTCTTTAGTTGAATCACCAATTCGTGTCGTGTTTTTTTTCAATCAGTAAAATGTCTTTAGATTATATCTAGAAAAAACATTTATACAGAAATGGATGTTAGCATCTAGTATAGAAAGTAGTAGCAGCTCATCAAGCAATTTAACTTCTTGCATGACGCTTCTGTAATTTCATATCCCGTATCATAATATATGACTTCTTTTGAATGTCTTCTTATGTGTGAGTAAATATGAGTATGGGTGTCCTGTTCGTTGCATGTCTATATCCACTCGTGTTTCCCCACTTTGATTTGACATTATAAACTGTTCCTGAAATGCGCATTGTGCAGCCATATATATATTGGTCGTATGATATGTTGGCTTTTTCCTATCATTGAATGAGTCAATATTTGTTTTGTGTCATAGATACTGTGTAATGTTGCAATTGCTTGTTGCAAGAAAAAGAATACAAAATATTACGAACGTGGTAAGATAGAAGAATCATAAAAACAACAATACTCCATTTTTTTCTTATGAGTATCTTAACAGCATAAAGTGGTATATACTAGACATGAATATAGAGTGTGGGTGAGGAGGTGAGCATACATCCTGTTTGTTTCATACACATCCACGCCCACACCCACACATCTAAAATTGTGAACCAAAATTCTCTCTTTTAAATAAAGTCATGTCTAAATAATATGACAAATATTTTTGTCCGTTCTTTAGTTTTAAAGAGATAATATTTAAATATTATTTTATCCTTGAAGTTTGTTATGTTCATTTATGTTTCATATTTCTATTCTTTACTCATTGATATCTATGAGGAAAAAAAACATGTGAGAAATTAAAATTTTCTTTTTTTCATATAAATCGGTTCTGTATCTTTGATAATAAAATCAATTTCAATGCAAATCATCATAAAAAATACTGAAAAATAGTTTTTCATCATATAAAATATAAAATCTTTCAGATAAACTACGAAGTAAATGATTTGTATGATCATCAATTGTGTGAAAATAAACTGAGATTTTCTTTCCTTTTTTAATATTTCTCATTTCAATTAGAATTTTAATTGCATTTCAACGATCTTTAATATCTTGATGATTTATAATAAAACTATATTGTGAACTATTAAATTTCCATTCATCTGATGCATGTGTTTCTTTTATATCTTGAGGGTGCGTGTGTCTCTCTTTTATGGCTCCGTTCACATTCACCACACCCACACCCTGTTTTAGACAACCCACATGCCATTAATTAGCGTATATATGTTTTCTCCGTAAGTAAAATATACATATCGTAAAAGACAGAGCAGAATGATTACCGATACATAGACAATGCAACCTCATTAAGAAAAACAACTTGCTCGTATATATCTTGCACATTTTTGCTACTGAAAAACAAGTTTATCTCAGTGTAATTGTTTTGATCAGTTGATTTCGTAATATTTCACAAAAACTTGTGTTTATTCGCTTATACAAACAACATAAATATTTTTTGCTTGATTTTATTTTATTATATTAAATCAGTTCAAAGGAAAAGAAAAATTTTGATATTAGCAGCAACAAACTTTGGCGCATGATCTTTTAACGGTGACAGTTTTTTTTCTAATGACTTTACAACATGGTTTGCAACAGCACACCGTTTTACGAACACAACAGCATGGACCACAGCAACAATCACAGCAAGGGTCGCAGCAAGAGCAACAACAAGGATCACAGCAAGAACAACAACAAGGATCACAACAGCATGGGTCACAACATGAACCACAACCGCAGCCGCAGCCACAGCCACAACCACAACCACAACCACAACCACAACCACAACATGATGAACGACAACAGCCTGGCATATTAATAGTAATAATGTAGTGAAGAAAAAAACTGGAGTACGATGAGAACTGGTTTGTGAAACTATGAGAATAGATATGTGTACATATATAGAGGGAGAGAAACGAAAAAAGTTGTATCCAGTAGATAAAAACAATTCATTTCTGTTCTCATATGACAATACCTGACATGCACATGTGATAGAGTAATATACGGAGAGAAATAAGTAACGCTTTATTACTGTTCATGCAATACATCAAATATCATTTCTTTTTCACACTTATTATCAATATTTTTCTTTGATTTGTTTCATAGTGTGGAAAACATCTAAATTTAATTATACATTCACGTTGTGACCACAACTCTAAAAGGGTAAAAGTCATTTGATATACCTTTTGATGAATAAAAAAAACAAATTAAATGTTTTTTGACAAAAAAATATTGATTCTCACACATTCTACAACAGCAACACTGATTTTATATATCATTTGTCTATGAATAATCCACATACAACATGTGTTATTATAAAAGACAGTAATATATAGATTTATTCGACTTAGTATCAATTAAAAATGAACATAAGTACATTCATGAAACATTTTTACCACGCTTTTATCTTTTTTTTTTATTTTAATGGTTTCATTATCGCACAAAAAGCTGCATTTGATACGCATCCATATTCGAACAATGGAACATGATTCAACACAAAAAGGCATGTATTCATTTAATTAAATAGTGTGAGAAATGAATATAAGGATAAGATTAACAGATAGATATAGCTTTGAAAATACAAATTCAAGAAAGTTATTTTCAAATAGAGCAATTAGTATAACATTTTGATTTTCATCGGTTATAAATCTATATTCAAATTTAAAATGATAGATATTGTATCACATCATATAACTCTTCTTTCATCACCCATTGTTTATGCTTCATACTCTTTTTATCTTTTTGATGATGAACAATTACTGATTTTCTTCCTCACTGTTCACAATCTTCTGTTGTCGCACATCGATGCATCTCCAAAGCCCAACCAAATCGTGCTTTTTGCTTTCGTATAAGTATTTTTGTTTGTTCATACCTTGTTGCTCGTTGTCGCATCAACTCATCATCAGCTAATATAAATGCTCTTGCATGTCTCGTATCACTATCAAAATCTATTTCTCTTGAAGTTGGCAGTCGTCTTTGTGCGAAGTATTGCTTGGATCGGTCTTCGTGGACTTGTTGTTTGTGAGCTGCTCTATCCCAAAGTAGTTTTAATTTTGTACTCACTACATCAGCATTAACTTTCGCATCAAATAGTCTAACTTGAACTCGGATAATTGAATTTGGCAATAAACTATTGAAGGCTATTTTTGTTAAAATTTTGAGATGGACATTATTTGCTTCTTCAAATTGTTTGAGATTGACACCATTTTTACCAATGAAACGGCCTATAACTGAGGCTGAAGGAGCCAAAAGATCGATTAGAAACGACCGTGATTGTTTAGCTAAAAATACAGAAAAAAGAGAATGTAATCTGCTATGATAATAACTAGCTTAGAGCTATATTAACGTTGACTTACTTGTCTTGGTTTGTTTGTTTTGTGATGGCCAAGTAAGCAACTCCTGTGATGTCGTTTTGCCAACTTTCTTCACTCGACAATGTTTACTTTCAATATGTTCATCTAACGCTTTTTTATGTGTAAACGCTTGGATTCGTGAACATCCGAGAATAGGACATTTTAAAACACGATGTCTGATATTTACTGCTTCGTCTATTGTTCCATCTTCATGCTGAACAATATTAAAATCAAATAATTCATCAACGAATATTGAATTATCTTTAGTCACATATCGTCTCGAATGGGTTTTTAAACTATGCAGATGGAATTGAAGACATCGTTTGTTGGCTTCATCGTCTTGTGTTTGAATATAACCAACATTCGTTTCTTTATTGAATTGAGTAATATAACCAGATGCCGAAGTCATTTTGTTATAATAATTTCGATGCAATAATAGAAGAACAGAAGACAGTATCAAAAATAGTGAGTAGAAAAGGATTTATATATCATTTATCATCTTGCATATTAGTTGAGACAGAACGAGATAGTGACCTGTTAAGTGATGCAATGTTGTCTTCTTCCTAGATAAATAATGTTGAAATCAAACGTGGTATGAGTCATCTATCGTTGGAAAGTATTCTATTGCAGCTATATTCTACGAAAACAGTGTGCATGTGGATATGACACATAAGGACGACTTTGTTGTTTTAATTCCTCAAGTTCTTCTCTATCATAGTTGCGGTCTTTATTTACATCCCATCATGTTTTAGATGGTACCAGTTAGCAACTTCTTTTTGCCATATCAAGAAATCATTCTTTTGCGTTTTTGCGAAAAAATCTGAACATTAGTTTCTCTATTCAAAGAATAATAGAAATAAAAAGTCAAATATGAAAAAGCTTATAGAGATTCATTTACGGGGATCTTCGATAGAATGCATAATATACATCATCCACCCATATCGAAAATTATTGTCGAGACATGAAATAACCTTAGATAAGTCACTAATGACTATTTGCCTTGATGGGTGGGTGTGGGTGTATCTTATTTATCTCATCCACACCCGTCCACACGATACACAAGAAGAAAGTAGATATTGGCATTTACAGAGAAAAAAACAAGCTGAATAATATGTAAGACGTAATACAGATAATTAAAGAATAAGCAAACGATCGAAAAGCATTAGAAAAATCGTCACTTGAAAAAGCTAGCATCGAAATCTGATCCGTTGGGAGTGTGCAACTGTCGTCCTCGCTCATCTTGACACTCCTGCCCACACCTAAGAATCGCGAAAAAAGATTTTTATAAAAAAAAATGACGATCTCCCTCTCCTAAAAGATATTGATTAATGAGTAATATTCTCAATTTATGAGTAGAGTGTTATTGAATAAATAGAATGAAGTTTGTGAATTAATTTTAACAAGCCAATAAAACACTAACAGTGTTACCCTCTTCATTTGTGACAATAATGTCGGGTTTGCCATCATTATTGACATCGATCACGACCAAATCTCGTGGTTGGGTGCCAGTTGCGTAAGTTGTTTGTGCAGAAAACTTACCGTTGCCGGTGTTGAGGAGAACGCCGACATTGTGACTCAAATAGTTCACGACAATAATATCCGGTTTGCCGTCGTTATTAACATCGAGCACTACCACATTCAACGGGTGGGTTCCAACTGAGTAAGTTGTTTGTGCAGTAAACGTGCCATTACCTGTGTTCAGGAGAACACCGACGTTGCAATTACCACTGTTTGTAACAATAATGTCTGGGTTGGTGTCGTTATTAACATCGACTACTGCCACACCGTACTGACCACTGTCAGTTACGTAAATTGTTTTCGAAGTAAACGTGCCATTACCTGTGTTGAATAAAACACTGACGTAATTACTACCATGATTTGGAGCAATAATGTCTGGATTGCCGTCGTTATTAACATCCACTACTGCCACATCGAACGGGGTTAAGCCAGTTAAATAAGTTGTTTGTGCAGCAAATGTACCGTTATCGATACCCAGGAGAACACCGACATTATTACTTAGAGAGTTCGGAACAATAATATCGAATTTGTTGTCGTTATTGACATCATTTATTACCACACTGTATGGATCGCCATCAGTAGAGTAAGTGGTTTGGGTAGTAAAAGTACCATTGCCGATATTGAGGAGAATACGAACGTTGTGAGCATACCTGTGTGAGACAATAATGTCTGGTTGACTGTCGTTATTGACATCGAGTACTGCCACACCGACTGGCCACGTGCCAATTGAGTAAGTTGTCTGTGCAGTAAACGTACCATTATCAATGTTGAGGAAAACACTGATAGTGGCATTACCAATGTTTGCGACAATAATGTCGGGTTTACTGTCGTTATTGACATCGGCCACTGCCAAACCAAACGGACCTGTACCAGTTACATACGTTGTTTGTGCCATGTATGCTGACCTGCATTGGTCTATTGCAAAAAAAATTGTTTCTTTAATGCATGTGAAGAGATGTAGAAATAAAA